TCTTACAACCTCGTAATCTCTCACCGCTTCACTCCATCTTTCAAGCTAAATACATAACAAACGAACGATAATTTCATTACAATGTTGAACAAATATATCAAGTATGCGCAGCATTCTAGAAAAAAAAAAATAATAATTCTTACCTTGTTGTTTGAGTGCAGCCCTTCGAAGAAGTGCTTTTATGTAATTAGGCTGGATACGAAGGGCTTGATTGCAATCATCGACCGAGCGTTCCCACTGACCAAGTTTGAACCAACAAGCAGCTCTATTGCAGTAGAGAACAGAGTTCGATGGATCAATTTTAAGGCCTTCACCATATGCAGAGCAGGCTTCGGTAAACCTCTCCGATTTAAATAAATCATTCCCACGAGCGCGGGCCCGCCCCACCAATTTCACATTGTTGAGCATAGTCGAGATTTCGGAATTACGAGGGTCTATCTTTCCAGCTTTCTCGATAGCTGTAAATGCACCGTCAAACCTGCACACCACCACACACGTCATTTTTTCGAACCCTTTTTTCTTAATCAGCGAGCAAAACTTTTTTTTTTCGAACTTACCTTCCACTTGCTAATTCGATTTGGGTTCGAACGAAATAAACGTACGCTTCGAAAAGCATACCGAATATTTTGGACTGTGATGGAACGGATTTTGGGATATTTGACATAGCAAGAAACGCATCGTCTAATTGATGGAGCTTCAAGAGAGCTTCTGCCCTACATGCCGAAAGCTGCAAATTCAAATTTCAACAAGTTCGATTAGCAATTCACTTATATACATACACATACACATACATACATATACATACACATATAAATAAAAAATAACAAACCTCGGGTGATGAATCAGCACCAGAAGCAATGGCAGCTTCGACTTCTCTCAATGTACTTCTCCAATCACCGACCCTACGCGCATCGGTGCACTTGCTCATATGCTTCTCCACGGATTGCAATTTCTGCACCTCGACGGAATCTTGTTGATGCCCCGGGAAACAAATGTGCTTTCTTGAAGTCTCGATTTGTCCTAAACTGCAATTCTTCGATAACTTAGCGTTCAGTGCAACGCACGATAAACACAACAATCAATCTTTTAACACGACAATTAGGTTAATAGTACACGGGTGCCAAAGAATCAAATTCCGATGCTGCGTCGAGGACCGTTAGGGCAAAGAAACCGACATTGCCATCCACCCTAAGGTAAGGGGAACCACAAAAAGGAAAGAACAAAAAAATGTACAGTAGAATGGGCCATTGTGGTAATAAATGACAGTGACTTAGCCACAAGAAAACAAACAGTCAAACAACACACACTCTGGCAAAGGAATCCGAACTGAACCAGATCTAGTACATGATAAACAAAACCCATCCCAACTAATGCAGATCACCATTTTTGCTTTTCAGTCCTTCTCAAATCAAGAATTCACAGAACAACCCCACTAGTTTAAAAAATCAACCAAGAAAAACCAGTTCCAACAATGTAGATCAGAATGCAATCAAAGATTGAAACTTTATCAACAAAACTCACCTAAGAAGCAAAGATCCTAGGCGGTGGTGGGCCCTTGCGTAGCCCGGATCCAATCGAATGGCCTCTTCGCATTCTCTGGCCGCCTCGGACAAACGCCGCAAAGCCATCAAGGCGGCGGAGCGGTTGAAATGGTAGGCGGCGTTGCCCGGTGATAATGCGATTGCTTTGTCGTAGAGGCTTAGAGCCTCCTCGAAGTTGCCCTTTCTGTAACTATCATTACCCATCTTCTTTAACTCCTCCGGATCACTGCCGCTGCTAACTCCGGTTCTTCTTCCCGGCTCGCCGCCGACCATTAATCCTCCTCTTGAATAATTAGTGGGCCCACTGTCGGTGGCCGGTTTAGATGCAGGACCGCCGCCGCCGCCGCGCATTATGCTGCCGTGGCCGTAATTTACTGAACCAGACCCCAGAACGTCGATTTTCGTTGACCGAGTGGCCATGCCGGTTTTCAGAATCCGGCCCGATGGGCAAATGTTTCCGGCGGGGAGGACGTTAACGGATGGGGATGTAACAGACCCGGACCCGGACCCGGAGTGGAGTATTGGCTGGGACCCGATTGAATTGGACCGGGTATGACCCGTCTTCAAATTGCGAGAGGTGGTCGGCGAACTCTCGACGGAGAGTTCGCCGGAGTGGCTGTTGGGATTGGAATCGGACTTCTTGGGCATATTCGAGTTCCGGCCGGACACCGATCCGGACGAGCTGGAGCTGCTACTCGTTGTGGCGGTGGTGGTGGCGGTGGTTCGGGTTCGGAGCGGCGAAACAGGAGAGCCCAGATCAAGCTGACGGAAGTCCGGTTTGTTGACATTAACGCCGTTAACCTGTTCGCCGTAGGTTAAGGTTTTTCTCAGCCGATCCGAGAGCGAGTCAAGCCCCAATTCCGGTTTAGTTTTCCCCGACTGAGTCGACATTTCGATTTCCACACACACACCGCCCCCCCTCTCTCCCCTTTTTTTTTACCGAGTAATAATAATCGGAATGCGAGCGAGCCCGTTCGAATTCCTCCCTCAACAATGTGAACAAGGATGAAAACAGCAGCTACAGAAGGTTTTTGAAGAAGGCATTAACGAAGGGAGAGGGGAGAAAAGAGGAAGAAAATGGGTGGAGATCTCGTGATTTTTAAAGGGAGAACCAAAGAATGAATGTGAATCCTAGAGAGAGAGAGAGAGAGAGAGAGAAACCTGTTCTTGATTTTTAATTCTAGAGAGAGAGAAATCAAGGGGTTTTTGCAGAGGAAGGAATGGAGAAGAGAGAGAGAGAGGAGAGAGAGAGAGAGAGAGATGAAGGAAAAGAAAAAAGAGGTTTTATATATATTAATTATTATTATTATTATTTTTTCTTTTCCCCTTTGTTTACCTGCTGCTTCACGAGACAGCTCTCTCTCTCTCTCTCTTCTTCTTCGTCTTCTCTCTCTCTCTATCTATCCCATTTACTCTTCCTCTTCCCCACTTCTTTTTTTTTTATTATTATATTTATTTTATTTATTTAATCTCTCTCCCCTTAAATCTTACTATTACAATTTATTTACATTTTCTTTTATTTAAGAAATAATGGGCAGATACAATGCTCACTCACTCGAACATCGATAAATTAATATTTTGCTTAAATAATAATTTATTTTTATTTTGACTCGGTAAAAATATACTAAATTATTAGTTCAATAATTTAAAAATTTTCATATTAATAGAATTTTACTATTACTATTCCTTGTATTAATTTATTGTATTTCGCTTGTGATGGTAGTTTCGGTAATTAATAATATTGCTAAAAAGGTACAATTTTGAAATAACTTTGCAAATTGTTAAAGAGTTAGAGTGGATTCGAAGGTTTTCTTTTTTTATTTTTTAACCCCTTTTTTTTATCAAATATTGTCAAAAAGGCATCTTGAAAAAACTTGGGTTGAAAGTAAGATTAGGTAGAAATAAAATTATGTGTAAATTCTATTTTTACTTTTTTTAAATGCATCTCCACCTTGTTTGGTTGCATGGATCGAACTAGTTTGACTTGAAATAAATTAGGGCAAATTACGGTCAATCCTGAAATAAGATCAAATTACAAAAAAAACCCTATATATTTGGGTAATTACAACCACCCATCAATTATGTAATATCGTTTACATTCATTCTTACACTGTCCAATTTATCTATTGAATGAGGGGGTTTTTTGTTGTAATTACCCAAACAAGAAGAATGTTTTCGTTATTTGATCTTACTTCAGGGGTAGACCGTAATTTGCACAGTAAATTATAATAAACCTTTTATTAACTAATTAATTGTGACTATATAATTTGTTTTCTCATATTGAAATCTCCTATTAAATTTGTTAAATCTAGTACTAGATGTAAATTTATTTTCATATTGTCTTTGACCTGAGAATAATTCAATGTAAACCTCATAATTTAATTTGGTTTGGATAATATTTCTATAATAAAATTATACTTATATCTTTTAGATAGTAATTGATAATTTTATCATATTACAATTAGATGTATATACTAATAAAGAGTTGATAATTATAGATTATACATGTTTGTGTAATTAAAAATAATTTTATATTTGTATGATACAATGAATTTTTAGAATATAAAAATAATTTTAGAACAAAAACATCTATTCTACGAAATAAAAACATGATCACAAACCTGATGCACCTCTATACTGATTTTGCAAACAAAATTATAGAAGTGAGTAAAATTAATAGAATTGTTTATTGTAAAAGTAATGGAAAAATGACTTTAGACATTAAATATTGGCCAGCTTATTTTTGTAAAATAATTTAAATAACTTTATAAAGTAAATTAGGATAAATATTACAAGGCGCATATGTCCAATATAAAAGAAAAATGTTATAAAAGTGCTTTTAGACCCAAAAAATGTTTCATTTATTTACTAAATTATAGGTATTAGAAAAAATATTTTGATACAAGTAAAAATAAGTAGATTCCAAAAACCAGACTAATTTCAAAAAATAAGATTCAAACACGGTCTTAAAACATTAATAATTAATTAAAAGCTAATTAATTATTTTAGTAGCTAGAAGCTTTTAATCACTTTTGAGTGATGACTACAAATATATACAGAAAGACTCCCTTAATTTGGTTAGGGAAATCTGATTCCAAATAAAACTTTTCCGTTAATTGAAAGTCAAGATTACTTCAGATTTAGTCGATTAAATCTGATTGAAGAAGTCAAGTATAAATAATTACACTTGCGTTAAATAATCTATCCTCCTTTTTTTTCTTTTCTTTTTTTTTTTCTTATCCAAAAAGAGATAATGGGATTACATCGGTTTATTCAATGCTACACGTGGTAAATACGCCGGGTGATTATTAGCCGTTGATCAGCAAATAACACATACACACGTGTACGTTTGCTTAGTGAGAGTTATTTCATTACATCTGGTTAAAAACTCACCCAATGTTTTCATCAGGTGTAGCATTTCAATGGGATTATATCATACCGAATACCATAACATTTTTTCCATGTTGTGATGATAAGATAACTATTAAGCTTAATTTCTCTGTATCTAAAAAAAATTATATATATAAAAGATTTGTTTATTTATTCATTTATTTATTTAAATAAAATTGAAGCCCCATTACAAATGAAAAAAATAGGTACCTGATATAATTTGAAATATGGATCTTCAAAAACATGAAGAGAGTAATTGTAAATCTTTAAATAAGAGTGAAAACATTGTTAACGTTGGGTTAACATTAAAATCAAACGATTTAACTTTATTACATCGATTGTTAGAAAGTTCATTTGAGTTTATTTGTTCATATAACTAAAAGTTTCAATGTATTGTGTTCACACCATAACTTAAGAAATTCCGACTAAAGTTCGACTTAAAAGCTATGTAGCACGGATACGGAAATGCGGATGCGGCGAAATGGGAAAACAGACACGAGAAAACTCATATTTTTTAAATACATAGAAAACATGGTGAAACGTGTAAATATTAAAAATACAGGGTTACAACCATAATTACTAAAAAGATATTGTAATGTTATCTTATATACTCTTCAACAGTTACATAAACTGTATATATAATTTACAAGTTTCAATTCGAATTATAATTAGGTAAATTATATACAAGGCATATAAATTTATTTTAGTACGAAATTAACATTTAAAAAATATTAAAATACCATTAGAAGTGAAAAAAGAGGCATAAGATTTAAGATTTTTTCAAGCAAAAGCAATTCCGAGTCTTCATTTAAAACGAGTTCTGGATTTTTATGCACTTCCCTTTTTTCATAATTACTAGGAATGCCACCGAAAACTTTAAATATTTACGAAAACGGCTCCAAAATATTTTCGGCATGTGTCATAGAGTTTCAAATTTCAAAGCTTTTCCGAAACGTGAAAACGCGTATGTACAGAAGTTTCCGTGCATCATAGCTTGAAAGATAGTTTTAAAAGAGCCCTTTATATGTACAAAGATTACATTATTTACATTTAGTTGGACAAATAATCTAATATTCAAACACAGTTTAAAATTTAATAATTGTTGAATGTATTTCATCCAAAAGTTTGAGTTATTAGTGAAATCAATATTTAATATGTATTAACTCTACAATATTAATTAAATGAATTTGAATAATAATATTGCCAGCTCGATTCAATTTGTTTATAGACTGCACTAGTTCCATGCGTAAGCTGAACGTGATAATGAAAATGACTATTATGAATAAATTAATTAGTATCATTTATGTAAAAATTCACGAGGAAATAATTTGTTTAATTTGTAATAAATGAGGAATTTGGTTTTTCTATCATGTTTATTAATTAAAGGATGATTTTTTGACCTGTTCATCACGCATCCAGATTCCACGTGGCACCAATATTTAAGACCAAAGTTTTGTTATAAAATACATTAAAATACAATTTCACATGCCAATATTTTTGTAAGATCAATCGAAATTATAGGATCGAGTACACGCAGTGCATGAATCAGTTACTTCTCGACAACATGGTCAGATTCGATATCTTAATGGGCCGTTGAATCACTATAATTTATGTTCCTTGAATTAGTATCATTTTAAATATCCAATTCGGACTTTAAATTCTTTATCGAAAAAAGAAAATAGAATATACTATATTTTTTGACAAGATTCGACTACTATTTTTTCACTAAAACAAAAATAATTAAACATTAATTTATTTTTAATTGCTTTTAAATAATTTATCCTTAACACATTCCATATGATTTGGCTGTTACAGTGCAATTTCTTTTTTTCAAAAGATAAAAAAAATTCTAGTTTACTTCTTAAAATTTTCTTCCAAAATAAATTTTACTCATAAATGAAAAAAAAATTGAAAAAAAGTCTCAAAATATAGTCTCCAATTGTAAACTTAAATTATGGGTTGACACCCAACCCAAAATCACAAAGGAAAGAACCAAAAGAAGACTAGGAGTGGTCCCACTCTTAATAATCATTGACTAATTAGTCAATTTGATGT